GTCTCAACATAAAAAGAAACCATCCAGGTGACCTGACTGAACTTTGTTGGATCTCTTCCTTTGGCCATACAGGAACCGGATCACCTACAAGAGTGACACCAGTACACAGCATATGTTTCACCTTACACAGCTCGTCACATGTTGTGGTGAGCCATAAGATGACGTCATATCTTCTAATGTTTGAAAAGATCAACGGAGGAGATGATACAAGAAATAAACATCTATCATTCCTTTATTTTCTACACATCTTTACCACAAGGTTTTCAAAGTGACGCGTCTGCACGGCACAAAGCTCCCAGCAGGCCTCCGTCACTCACTCGCTCATTCTGTACCATAACAATACAACAGTAGAGTAATTGTGTTGCAGTATCAGATTTACGATATACCTGTGCTGCCTGACTGAGGCGGACCGCAGCGGCTGACTCTCAAAGCTCTCACAGCTCTAAACTTATAACCACAACGGGAAAATATCTCAGAAGAGAGCGGCGTGCTTGTGCGCGCTCATTTATCTGCTCGTGCTCTCATGGCAAAACAGCGTTTGGCGAGAAACCCTGCAGTGGGACAACTTGTAATCCCAGCATCAAACGGAAACATGCAGAGCCTTGAGAGTGTATTCACCCCCTCTGGCATTTTCCCTATTCTGCTGCATTACAACCACATGTATAAAGTGGAATTTTGTGAGGTTTGCATCATTTGATCAACACATTACGACTATGTTTTACCTTGCAGGTGCAGAATAATGTCTCCATAAAATAATAGTAAGTATTTATCCATTTTTAGCTCCTTTTTGCAACGATAACTTCAAAGCTCCGAGTGTCATTAAATACATCTTCACTGACTTTGATGTTCACTCAGATCCTATTCAGTTGTTTTAAACAGGATGGTTTCTGTTGATGAACAACTATCAGATCCTCAAACTGGATGTAAATCAGATATTTGATTAAACCAATTAAACACATTAAGACGAGGCCATTAAACCACTTTTGTTTGATTTGTGGTATATACGTAACTGGCAGCTCGAGTGCTGTACCTCCCTCCAACACTCAAACATCTGTATACAACTGGTACACTGCATTCAGCTACACTAAAGATGACAAAAAAGTGGATACGGTATCATCACTAAATGATGGCTTTTTCAGGACAAATGCTAAATAAAAAAACAGACCTCACCATTTGGCACTCTTTCGATTGTGCTGTTTAGTTAGCAACTGGGAATGATGCACTATGCTCAGTGGAGAAGAACTGGATAGGTTATGAAAATGTTAGTTGTACAACAAAAGCTGCAGGAACCCACTAAAACATGTGAGCATCATTGGTGAGGCCAACAGTTAATTTGGGGGTCATATTGATGCAGTGGTTTACAATAGATGTTGGGTACAGTATCACTAGGTTGTAACTCTTGGAGACTAGTTGGTGACTCAACTTGACTCAATCTTGCAAAAATATACACAAATCTACTAATAAATGTTCTATTAGAGAAGCCTTATACACTTATGCATGCTCACAACCACACACAAATAGAAGCAGGGATGTTTATGTAGGCTTTATATGTAGATATATAGATATGTATGTGAGTGTATATTCATGTGTATGTATGTATGTATGTATGTATATAGGCGTAGGTATGGGTATATATATTTATGGAAACTTACTGCAAAGCCATGAATATTTTAAGTTCTTTATACATATGTATTTTGTTGCTGTGTTTTGTCATGTTCTTTGCAGGTGAACAGACAGTGGCCGGGTGTTTTGACGTGTGCTCTATTTGTATATATTTCTTATATTTTGGAGTCTTACTTTGTCTTTTCTTTCTTTCTATCCTATAAAAAAAAAAAAAAAAAAAAAAACTACACTAGAATGTCACTATAATAAAAAAAAAAAAAAATATATATATATATATATATATATATATATATATATACACAAATCTTCAGTTGCAGTGTCACTGAATTCTGAGCATGTCACCAAGTGACCAGCAAGCCATGCAGCTGAACTATGAGCGACCAGTTCTTGACAGTCATGGCTTATTTTCGTGTGTACGACTCACAAAACCGTATTCTAGACCATCAGTTAACTGCCCGTCTACCTCCACATCATACCTTTGTTGACCTGCTGTGGACTCACCTTGGCAGCTGCTCTGATGTTTATGATTTAATCTACTGGAGAAAACTTTTGAAATGAAGATAGGAGGATTTGGACCAGTTGTTAAATACTTACCACAACTTTCAGACCTGGACAGGTTTACCGTCAGAGGAGAGTCTATCACGGTGCGCTAAGATTCATAACTGGCTGTAACTACCGCACCCACCATTGAACCCTGTATTCACTGGTTAACTGGTCATCATTAACTTGACTCAGTCTCTCTCACTGGTACATTTTCATCTTTAAATCACTTCTTGGTCTGCTGCCTTCATACATCTCCTCCTACATGTCTCTGCGTGAGTGCAGCTACAGCGTGCGCTCTCAGGACATTATTACCTGCAGTGTTCCCTCAGTGAGGACGGAACTAGGCAAAAGAGCCTTCTCTTGTCTTCTTTGAGACAAGTTGGAGATACCAGCAAAATGTCTGGAGATTATTTTGAGTTATTTTCATTTTATTGTAATTTTAATTTACTGCCCGTGGTCACCAGCTATTGTAACCCAATGAGAAACTTTACTTTGTTCTTTCACCGCTTTTTACCCAACCTGCCTACAGGGACTCTGTTTGTATGCACGTTGGGGTACAAAGTGGTCAAGGAACAAAGGAAGTGATCCAGAGTGCTTTTATTGCAGTGTTGAAGCCTATTTTATTAATCCAGTGTCTCTTTTGTTCATATACACACAGACTGGGTTCACTTTGTTATGCAAGTTGCAATTAATATGTCTTGATTTGGTCTGCTATGCTCTTTTAACTGATATAAGCATGACAGGCTTCAATAAGTAAAATTTAAACTGGTCCTTTGAGTGAGTAAGACTTTAATATACATATACTTGTTTTATAATGTGTGTGTGTGTTGACAGGGTAAAAAAGGACCAGTTGTAATATCCAGACCTTACCACAGAAAAGAAGCACAGAATGATGAAAACAAGTTAAAACACCTGAGGACATAGTGAGCCAAAAGCTCACCACTCCATCCATGATGCAGGGCCACTGCTGCGTGTTTATACTTCAAATAAACACCAATCGTCCCTCGGTACCCAAGTAGAGCTCAAACAGTGATTAGGCTGCTGATCGGGTGACATGCTGAGAAAGAGCTTTTGGCTAATCTGAAATAACTGCACAGTCTGCAGAGACCAGTCCAGCTCTGCTTTTCTCATTCATTAACGTCTGATGTTTGAAGCCAGGGGGTGGTGAACATCACCGTAACACCCACAACTTCACCATCAGCCACACACACAAGCCTGACATTTGCATCAGAAGCATGTGCAAACACAACCCGGGCACATGAACGCTCCCGTCTGTGGAGTGGCATGTACATGTGAACGCAGCTCTGTGTGGGTGCAGGTGGTGCTCGTGTATGCGTGTGTGGCTGCCCGTCTGTTCGCCAGCCTGCTTGTCAGCAGTAGCTGGAGAGCGACTGAGCAGAGCGTCCAGCTCCTCCTCTCCCTCGGCACACTGCCACTGAAACGCTGCCTAAAATATTTAACAGCAGCGGTCAATAGCACGGCAACCTTGGAATCAATGTCGCACCGCTAATAGGGGGAGAAGAAACAAAGAAGCGAGCTTCGGAGACGGATGGATGGATGCTGGAAGAGAGAAGGGGGTGTGGATGGATGGAAGGGGAGGAGGATAAATTGGTGAGCAGCAGGGGAGCGATGGAGATAAATGAAGGTTGGAGTAAAACGCTGGGAGTAACGACTGCGCTTGCGCTTGAAAGCATGTGCTACGTGTACTGTACCCTGCAACAGAAAATCCCTTATTCTGAAACGTGACGTGTATGTGTGATGGGGGGGGGGGGGGGGGTAACTGACATGGCAGCAAGCATACCCCACTGGTAAATGGAGGCAGGATGACAGAAAAAAAGAAGAAGATGATGAAACTAGAGCACTAAGAGCAGAGAACTAAAAGGGTGGGGGGAGAGGAGAGACTGCTGATCACTGCAGTAAA